CCCTTCCTTTGGCTTGCTCATTTTTAACTCTTTGTTTTCATTCCCAGCACTGCTCTTGCCTTGCAGTCCACATGGTTTCACCAGTCTCTGGGTCTATACAAAGTACTCAGTCAAGTACACTGGGCCCAGGCTCTGTCTTGCATCTGAGCTTAGTTTATTTTGGAAGCTGAGTGGACCCAAGCTGGTGAGATATGGAGCTCCTAGGAAAAAAAAAACAGGGAGCCCACGTGAAAGGGCCTGGGTCTTCACTGTGGGTCAGACCAGCTGGAGCTTCTTCACTGCATCTTGGGGTAGTTTTGGGGAAGACTGTCTTGTTTGTAGAATGTGATGAAGACAATCGGAGGTGTGGAGGAGCGTCTCTGCAAGAAAAAGCTGATCAACTCTGATACAAAGGGGAAACAGTGATCTGCACAGACTGTGTCGCTGGTGAGGAGGAAGGAGACCAAGGAGAGGTGTGACAGAGGGCTATAAGATGGCCAGCGCCTTGGAGACAGTGAATTTCCCTTTATTAAATGGGATAATGAGCGAAACAGGTTTGCAACAGGTCCAAAACCACGCAGAGCCTTTCATCTCAATACCCCGTAGAGCTGCGAGACTCCTTGCTGCAGGATGCTCCGGGTGCTGAAGGTTTACGTGGCTCCAGAAACAGTGGCTCGCAGGACAGACGGACGGAAGAAACCTCCACCGAGGGCTCTTACATACAAAGACGTCACTTCTGGCTCGCAAAGTTACCGGCCTGCAGATTGCTGAAGGCTTTGAGAGCCTTCACGGGAAATATCAATAGTCATGTCCTGTCCTGGGTCTTCTCTCTTCCAAAAGCTTCCAAAGGGAGCACCCTATGGAGATCTTCCCTCTGAGCTAGGGGAGAGGGGTTGGAGGCCTCTGGCTGGACACACACGGCACGGGCAGGATTCGTCCTCTCCTGGGCCCTGCTGACAGCAGATGAGATCTCAGTGCCGCTGCCCGGGTGGGTTTTTAGAACCACGGACATTTCTTCTGGGGCCTGCCCGTGTCAACCTCAACCCTCCCTTCTCCACAGTGCTGAGCTTTCTCACCCAGCCAACCCTCCTTCTTTCTGCTTCATTTAAAATAGAAAATTAATAATTAACTGACCTGTCCTTTGAGTGGCAGGTAAAGAAAATCCCCAACACCTCCCTTACGGGTTGTCTGTCGCCCTGGAGTCTCGTTTGTTTTTCCAGCGTGCTGCTCTCCACGAGCAGGGTGCTGGTGTTTGGTGTTTCAGGGTGTTCACCTGACCGCCCCGGGGCTTTTCTCCACCACCCAGAGCCACCTCTCTTTGCAACCAGCCTGTCCTACTGCAATACAGCTCTTGGCCACAATATTTGTGAAATATTGGGAATATTTCTGAAGCTGCTTACCTTTTTGCATCCGCAGGGTCTTCTCTTTGCACCCCGGTGTGCCAGTGGATCATCTCGCCACCTTCTCGGACCTCCACCCTCTTGTATCCATCTTGCAGCACACGTCAACATGCTCCAGCCCTTGAAGGTGGAATGGGAGGCAGCTTCATCCCAGTCTGGGAATTTTGGGATGCAGAAAGATGATTGGAAAGGAGGTAGGAGTTGGTTGGTTTGTTCTCGTTCTGCTCGGTTTTCATTTAATTCATGTATTAGCCTTTTTTAAAATGAAGGATGCTTTAACTGGCTGGGGAGAGAAGGTTGGCCTTCTCCTTTTCCAGTGGAGAAGGAAAGTCCCGAGTTATTTCCCATCCCCATTCAACTACAGACCAGGAACATCACCACCCCCTTCTCTGGGCCTTCAAGGACAATCCAACAATGTCCAGAGAAGCAAAGACACCTCTTTTAGATATATTAAATTTAAAGCTGAATACTTCTGGCACAACTGGATGAAAGGAATACTTTTCCATAAAGATTTACCCTTGTGATTGATGGGCGAGCTTGCAAATGCTCTAACCCCACTCCCTTTTTTTTTTATTTTATGACACTCATAAAGATGTCGTTAGTGTTAAAACTCCATCCCAGTGCAAACCAACTGATGGGTTAATATTTATTAAGGGACACGGAGCACACCAACACACCCCTCCTGAGACAGCCGGGCAAACCAGTCTTGAAAATCTTCGGTCTTTTCACATCTTCACGCGCTGTCCTCCTAAAAATTTAGTGTTTTCCCTTATGCTGCTAAAATTGCAGTAACAGAGGTGTGAGGGGTTTGGAGTCAGACCCAACCCCACACTGGGGTAGCAGCCAGGGGACTTTACGCGTCCCCTTGGCCCCCCCCTTGGGTTTTTTTGCCATGTTTCCCATGGATTTCCACCAGCAGCACCAGACCTCATCTCCTTCAGGGGCATTTCAAGCAATTCCAGCCCCCCACACCCCCCTCCTGGGTCAGTAAACCGTCACCTCTCTCCTTCCTGGCTGTGCTGGGATGCAGCTCGAGACCTTCACCCCTGTGGTGGAGGAGCAGGGTGGGTGCTGCAGCTGACAGCAAAGCCGTTAAGAAGTGAAACCTGCTGGGGAAAACACTTATTTTTTTCTTTAATCTCAGTTTTTGATGTTTCTATGTAGAGTTGAAGATGGAGCGGAATGGAACATGGGCACACACCTGCCCCACGCTGCTCCAGCTCGGAGGGGATGCTACAGGCAGCACCTATGGATGGGAAGGCAGAGGATTCTCTAGGAAGGCAGGTGAGCATGTAGGAAGGCAGATGAGTGAATAGGAAGGTGGATGGGCATATTCGAAGGCAGGTAAACGTGTAGGAAGGTGGATGAGTGTGTAGGTAGGCAGGTGGGCGTATCGCAGATGAGCATGTAGGAAGGCAGGTGAGTGTATAAGAAGGCAGGTGAGCATATAGGAAGGTAGATGAGAATGTAGGAAGGTGGATGAGCATGTAGGAAGGTGGATGAATGTATAGGAAGGCAGGTGAGTGTACAGGAGGTCCCGTGGATGTCTAGGAAGGCATTTGAGCATATAGAAAGGCAGTTGAGCATATGGAGAAGCAGGTGAGTGTACAGGAAAATAGATGAGCATATAGAAAGGCAGTTTAGTATATGGGAAGGCAGGTGAGTATGTAAGGAAGTGGGTCAGTGTATAGTGAAGCAGGTGAGTGTATAGGAGGGCAGGTGAGTATGTAGAAAGATGGATGAGCATGTAGGAAGGCAGGTGAGTGTATAAGAAGGCAGGTGAGCATGTATAAGAAGGTAGATGAGCATGTAGGAAGGTGGACGAGGATATAGGAAGGCGAGTGTATAGGAGGTCCAGTGAATGTCTAGGAAAGCAGCTGAGCATATAGAAAGGTGGTTGATCATATGGAGAGGCAGGTGAGTGTACAGGAAGGTGGATGAGTGTATAGGAAGAGAGATGAGTACATAGGAAGGCAGGTGAGTGTGTCGGAAGGTGGATGAGTTGGGCGTATACAACCCCAAGCACGCTGGGGGATCAGTGATCTGCAGCCCCCCGTGACAGCACCTTCCATCGATGGCGGCCGGTGCTTACAAGGGGGCGGTGGGTTTGCGGGGCCGGGGTGAGACCCAGGTGAGTGGAAACCTTTAACTCCTCGTGGCTCCGAGCCACCCAAACCTGGCCTCAGCGACCGCGGGGCACAGCCGTGCCGGACCCGGCGTGCCGGGGCTGTGCCGAGATGACTCACCCGCCGCTTGCAGCACTTCAACTAGCAACGAGTGAAAATAGAAACGGCCCCAGCTCCCGAGCCCGGAATAATGTCGCAGGCTCTTTTTTTTTTTTTTTTTTTTTTTTTTTTTTGTGTGTGTGTGTGTGTGTGTGTTTTTTCCCTTTAAAGTGAAATCCCTACTTTTTAAAATCTCCTTTTCTTTTTTTTTTTTTTTATTCTCTCTGACTCAGCCCCAGTAAAGCCACTGTGTAGCGGCAAAGTCTCCTCCCTGGCTTCTCGGCTGTGGCCCGCGGCACGTCAGCCACCGGCGTCGGTGCCAGTGGGGGCGGAGGTGGAGGATGTGGAGGAGAAACAAATCCTGGTGAGATGGGTCTGGGGGGACGATGCCACGTCCTGATGGGACACAGCTTGGTCTTTTGGCAGGCTGCAGAGCTTGGGAGGAAAAAAAGGGGAGAAGGAAGAGCACTTGGGGTTGTAGTCCAGGCTGCTTTGGAGGTTGAGAGGATGAGAGAAGGAGGGAGGAGAGGATGGATGACTGCTGGGATGGAGAGCTGGGAGATGGGAGCAGCCAGACCCTCCCACCTCCGTGGTGGGACGGGAGGACGGGGCACTTTGGGATGCACATCTGCTGGTGGCCGCCATCAAATGGCAAAGGAGAGCTGACGGAAAGTGAGGAAAAGGGGGAGATGGGGCCGTGCTGGTCCCCATGGAGCTTCTTGGGGCTTATGGGTGATTGCAGCTGCAGCGGAGATACAGGGACATCCCAGGAGCAGGCACAACAATGTTATCGCAGTCCCCCCACATAACTGCTGCTCCCATTAGACGCTGCCCTCCAGGCCTCCCCAGGCCCCTGCAAGCCTTTTGGGGGGAGATAAGCTGAGTCCCAGTGCTCTATCAGGCCAGCCCACACCTCAGATCCAGCGAAACGTGGCCACTGCCTCCACCCCTGCCTGAGCCCCGGCTGCAGGATGCTCGTCCTCCCAGCAGAGCCCATCCAAACCTCCCCAGGGATGAAGCAGGGCACAGCACACCCATTAAAAATTATTAAAATAGCAATTAAGGGCTATTTACATGGTTCACCATCCATAAACTCTCACTTCCAGGAAGCAAGACCACGCTACAGGTGATTTTTTTTCCCAGGGATCTGAGCTGGATGACGTGTGGAAGTCATTTCTGGATTTTTTTTTTTTTTTTTGGAGCTTCTCCAAAAAAGAATCACTCATTTTTCTTCTGCGTTTTTTCTTCGGCCAACCCCACGTGGGGCACCACTCGCTCCCCACAGGCCCCCCAGCAATGGGGATGTCCCAGAGAGACACTTGAGGACCCCCATGCTGGTTGTTGGGGATAACTTGGGCCACCCACATTTCATTTGAGAGTTGGGAAGGGAGCGGGCAGCTCTCCATGGCCGCTGCCCGTGCCTGCCCGTGGCCGGGAAAACCCTCCATCAAACTTGCACGAACCGGCTGGGCTTGAGGCAGCTCCAAAACATCTCCGGGGCATCCTATGCCACATCGAAGTGCTTTTCTGGCACCGATGGAGGTTCTTCTTCTTGGGGTTCAGGGGCCCCAGTGGGCTGCCGGGGCTGTGGTGCCCAGGGTGGTTTGCACACCCGAGCGTACACGGGGCTGGGACTGCCCTCGCTGCCCGGCTCCTCCTGGGTGATGGCGTCCTGCCTGGCGCTGCTCCGCTCATCCTCAGTGGGCAGGGATGGGGAATCACCCCTGGTTTTTGTCAGCGTCGCAGATTTGTACCGGATACTTTCATAGATGGGTCCCTCAGCATCTGGCACCGTGTCTGCTGTGGGTGCATCGGCATCCCCAGGCACAACCGGCAGCTGCCGGTGCCGCAGAAACTTGGGGGTCCTCAGGGCTGGGCTGGAGAGTGCGTGGGAATGGGGTGTCCAGCCTGGCACTTGCAGCCTGGGGTCCCCCCCAGAGGGGTTCTCTGGGGCCCCCAGCACCGCGGGGCCATCCGCCTGCTGCTGGGGCTCGCCGGGAGAGGAGGTGCCTGCAGGGAGGGAGAAGAGGGGCTGCTGAGCTGGGGAGGGCACCCCCAGACCATCCCCGGCTACTCCAAGGTTAAATTAGCACCGAGTAAATGGGTCCCACTCCTGCTCTGTCCCCGCTTTTAGCGAGAAAGACACTATAGAGCAAAGCAAAACAAGGGCGAGCAGCCCCGGGGTGCTGCTGGCGGGGGGCTCATGCTCCCCGCCGCATGGCCAGCGCGGTGTCGGGACCTGCCGCCTGCCTTCCCGCACAGCGTCCGTCGGCTCATGCCTTCGGTCAAATATTTATTTAAGAAGGAGGCTCAGCTCTGTGCGCAGCATCTGTCAACACGGGGAGCTGGCAGAGCAGGGCGTCCAGCCGGTTTGTTCGCTCCAAAGGCGAAGGGAAGTCTGGAAAAGTGCGTAACTGGGTGTTTCTCCTCCTGCTTTAAAGAGTCCTGTGGGATTTGGGGTGCAGGACCCTGGGTGCCCCCCCGCCGTGTCCCCGCCCCAGGCCTGGCTGCAGTGCGGTGCGGGTGGCAGCAGGGACGGGGAGGCGCAGGCCGCTGGTGATGCGGGAGGGTGCAGGGTGGGATCCAGGGCAGAGCCCCTCGGGGAGCACAGCCTCCACCGGCCTGGCAGAAAGCAGCCCCAGCCCCGCCCTGTGAGCACCCCAAGGTGAGCAGCCCAACATCAGCACCCCAGCAGGAGCACCCCAGCATGTGCAGCCCAACATGAGCACCCCAATGTGAGCACCCCCAATGTGAGGTTCACAACAGGGCCACCCCAATATGAGCACCCCAGCATGAGCACCCCAGTGTGAGCACCCCAACA